TCTGGTAGTCGAGTTCCTATATGAGGTCGCAGGTTCGTTGGTTCCGTCGGATGTTCGCGGTTTCTGTCGCTGATTTGGAGTATTCTAAGTCGAGTTAGCGGCATCAGATTCATTTGTAACTGTTGGATTATTTCTCTTATTTAATAAAGAAGACTCGCACCAGAGGTTCCTACTCTTATCCCTCTATTATTTCAAGTTTAACTCCATGTGTTGTTATGTGATATTAAGCATGATATTGGCCCATTGTCTTCTAATTCTTCTGGGTTAAAGTTCTTGATGAAGTCATTAGAAATTTGGAGTATTATACAAAGTTATAAAATCTGTTTTCCATATGAGTTTTAATTTATAAGAAATTTCAAGATTTGCTTTAGGTGAAACTTTGGTCAAGGATATCTTGATTCATCTAGTTCTGACCAGTTTCCTTCATAGTTTTTTTTTTAATCTCTATTGAAATTTAATTTGGTTCCTAATATTGCCAAAATTATTTTCTCACTGCCAAAGGGAATGATAAGTAGTATATTGAATTTTTTTTTCATAAATTGGATATGAGAATTCACATGGTTTAGAGCGTGGGTATTTGTGCGTTTTCTTTCAATCTTTTCCCTTTTTCTTAAAAGATTAGTGAATAGACAAATTGGGCCAATAAGCTGAAATGTTGTCAAGTCCCGCGCAACTTTTAAAAGTAGTATTACAAAAATATTTGTTTATTTTTATTTTTAATAGGATTTTAGTAAACTTTTAGTTTTAATTTTAAAACATAAGTTTGAAAACATAAAAAATAATTTTATAACGTTTTTTTTAGCTTATTAGTATTTTATAATATTTATAACATTAAAAAAAAAACACCAAAAATATTTTTATTTTAATATATAATTCACTTTAATAATGTATTCTTATTAACTAAGATTAATGGACTGATATGATTTGTTGCATATGATTTGGGCCCTACTTTGTCAATAACGGTAAATGGGTTGTATGTGTTTGAGAAAAATTTAGGTGATATCTTTAAGTTGTCATTTTCTTGCCGGCTTCACATAGTATTAAAATGTAATTATAATTTTTCAAGGCCATCCTCTTTGTTTATAATTGTAGATTGCTTTAGGCGCGTAAATAAATCATTGTGACTATGGGTACGGTTAACGTGGCATAGTTATGATACGCAAATCCCAATTCGAGTGTGCGTTTCACGTGACTCGACTATAACTTCAAATATTAATAAAAATAAATATGTCGTAAATCGTGGGTGCATTTCATGTGGCGCGGTTTGCAATGTGTACCAAAACGACAAGTGTACGACATCGTGACTTGTTCCATAAATAATTCCATAAATACTAAAAACGGTTTTAAAAGTTAAAAATGCACAATAGGTTTTCAAACATGTAATAAATCAGATAATTAGGCCAAGTATTAATTATTAAGCGACCGTGCTAAAACCACGGAACTCGGGAGTGCCTCACACCTTCTCCCGGGTTAACAGAATTCCTTACCCGGTCTTCTGTATTCGCGGACCATAAATAGAGTTAAATTTCTTCGATTTGGGATTTTAAAATAAACCGATGACTTGGGACACCATAAATTATTCCAAGTGGCGACTCTGAAATAAATAAATAATCTCATTTCGATTAATGTAACTTAATTTGGAAAAACTCCCTTATCCCATATCCTCTTCGGGAAAAAGGAGGTGTGACAGCAATCGCGCAATATTTGATTAAATGGAAGGGTTTGGATGCTGCTTATGCCACTTGGGAGTTCGCTTCACTCGTGAGGACCAGATTTCCTTCATTCACCCTTGAGGACAAGGGTGCTTTTCATCAGGGGAGTATTGATACACATATTTTAGAGATGCCAGACGTGGATGCCACTTCAGCTGCTGAGTAGGATAATTTGAATAGCTGTTACTTTTTGAATTTTACTGCTTTGGCGCGAATTTTAGTTAGAATGTAATTTCAGCATATTTTGCATTTCAGTAAATTATTTAGGAGTATAAGTAGCAAGTGGTAAACTCTTATTACACACTTTTGATATGCTAAAGAGTTTCTGATCTTCTCTCTAATTCCTTCTAGTCTCTCTTCTTCCTACTCCTTCTCATTTTTCTCCTTATCTGCTGCTTCATTGCTGAATCGATACCAATTTGGTATCATGGGCTTAGCCCATTCTCCTACTATCCCCCATTTTTTTTCTGACTTTAGTTAAAGACTTTTATGCCTTATTAGTAAATAGGGTATTATATTCTCCCCGCCTTGAGAAATTCAGTCCCCGGATTTAAATTAGGTATATACCTGTAGACTGAAATAAGTTAGGATAGTTGACTCGCATAGCATCTTCCACTTCCCAATTAGCTTCTTCAATAGTATGATTTTTCCATAACACTTTAACAAACACAATTTTCTTTGACCGTAGCTTTCTTACTTGTCTGTCAACAAGCCACCGGTTCTTCCTTGTAAGACAACTTCTTATCGAGTAGTATAGTCGGTGCTTCAAGCACATGAGATGAGTCTGATATACATTTTCTTAGTATTGAGACATGAAACATTGGATGAATAAAAGACAACTCAGGAGGAAGTGCAAAACGATAAGCCATAGCTTCCACTCGGTCTAGTATCTTATACGGTCCTATAAACCTGGGACTCAACTTGCCTCTTTTCCCAAACTGCATCACACCTTTTATAAGGGAGACTGGTAGGAACACTTTGTCCCCAATTGTGAACACCAAATCTTTTCTTCTCTTATATGCATAAGACTTTTGTCTACTTTGAGTTGTGAGTAATCTCTGTCTGATCAACTGGACCTTGTCAATAGCTTCTTGTACTAAGTCGGATCCCAATAAGTTAGTCTCACTAGTTTCAAACCGTCCGATAGGAGAACGACATTTTCTACCATATAATGCTTCGTACGGTGCCATTTGAATACTGGATTGGAAGTTATTATTGTAAGCAAATTCAGTTAAAGGTAGATATGCGTCCCAATTACCTCCAAACTCAAGAATACAAGCTCTCAACATATCCTTCAAGATCTGTATTGTACGTTCTGACTGACTGCATGTTTGTGGATGAAATGCAATACTAAGATCTACTCGTGTACCCAATGCCTCTTGAAAAGATTATGCAAAGTTTTACCGGGTAATTGCCTCCCACTAGAATAAGTCTCGAGTAATACTACTTGTCAAAGTTTATGCAAATCAACTAGCGTTTCTTGTCACACTAAGATTTCAATCCTGACTTCCCATTCTAACACAAATCTTGTGCTCTACATAATTTTTCAGCTATATCGGATTCAACCTTTAAGATTCATACATTAAAAATTCGTTATATTTTAAAAGTATTTATTGCAGTTTTAATATATTTTTACAAATAAATTTGTAAGTATTAAGTTCAGTAGATAACAAAGCTGCCCGCTACTATAAGAAGAAATGTTTATTTATTTTCTGAAATAGAGTCCTAAAATTATATTACATAGTAGAGTAGTATTCGACTAAAAGCAAAATATACGTACATTTCTTTTGCAGCTATCCTCTTCCCTTTTTGAAAACAAATGAATACAGATTTCACACATTGCCACTGCTGTTACATTTGTTTAAAGATAAATAAAAGTGAGTGCTAGTAAAATTTTAGATCCTTCAACAGTCTGAAGATATTGTGCGTGCCAAACACGATTATTTTTGTTATTGATTGCGTTTTAGAACATGATTCCAACACTACATTTTCTACCAAAAATATTGAGCCCAAGATCATTTCTCAGCTGTAACAAAACTCTATATAATGCATTAGTTGTTGAGGTACAACGATCCTCGCTGTTCATTACTCAAGCAACACTTTCCTCCACGAGAAATATAATCATTAATAATAAACTTGGAACATTTCCAATTAGTTCCAACAGATTAGCATTAGAGTATTTTGCCTCACAATTGCAAATAGCATTAGAGAGATTTGCCAATTACAGCGACATTACAAGCTTTTTAAAGGGATAATCTTTCTCCAATTATGACTGATGCGGAGAAATAAAGATATTATGGTTACAGTTATCTCTATGAGATATACTTTGAAAGAAAACAAAACTTGCTTACTCCCCAAGACCCTCAAGGGTGCAAACTCACTAAATTGCCAAAAATCATTGAGCTTCTCTGCCTCGATTATTTCAACAAATACAGCTTTTAATTGCGTATATGAACTATCGATAACCTATAACTAGCAATCAAGTTTTACCAATATCCTCCTATCACCTCTTCTTGTTCTTCTTTCTTTCTTTCACTTCTTTCTCTAAACTTCTGATCCTTTGACTAAGGACTGACGATGATGGTACTCGTTTACTTGTGGGTTTTGATTCTTCCAAAGGAGGCGATGATACAGCCGGCTGCTGGTTTTCTGCGCGCTGCTTCGCTGCTACGTATTGTTGTGCTGCTGCGTATTTCTTAAGTGCTTCAAAAAATGGGACTCCCGGTTTTTGTTCTTTTGGAGGACTGAAAGGTATTATAGGAATACCTAGTTTCTTTTTGACTGCGTGATTTTTTATCACTGACACACAAGATGAAAAGAGAGACATGTTATAGAGAAATTGCATTTACTTCACCATAGCAAATTCCAAATTTCACTTTTGAAAAGCAAAGATTGCAATGAGCAGATGAATATTTCACCATGAATGAAAGGAGCATACTAACCCAAACCATAGGAGAGTGAAAAGAGATTTGAAGTTATCCAGTAACAGAATATTGCCTGCAATTATTCAAATGTCATGAACGAACAAATCATTATGAATAATCAAACAAATACCATACATGAAACAGCATGTATAAGGATTATGTTGCACATATACACATGCACAAGAAAAGAAACATCCATGAAATACAACATGCATGTAACAGATGTAAACAATGTACAAGATTCTCGATTATGCCCAACCTTTTTGTTGCAAAAGATGGATGATTCATTCTTGATAAAACTATGCCTATTAACAATCTCAAGAAAATCCAGCAAGGCATTAGTAGCAACACCCACATACGGCCAATCACAATGACAATATCTTTGACGAACGTGTTCCAGCAATATTAGACCCTCTCTCTCTCTCTCTCTCTCTCTCTCTCTCTCTCTCTCTCTCTCCCACATGCTTGTAGGCATGTGGAACAGGTGTTTTACTGTTTTTGACATGCTGATTGCATGCTCAAAGACTAAAACTGAAATTACATAATCTTGAGTACTTGAGTATGCCCGAGCAATTTATCAAACATAAAAGTCCAGGTGAGATTAAAATTTAAGTAAAGATAGAATGTTTAAAATGATAAAATGGATAAAAGAAAGCGGAAAAAAAACACTTGGTACGTTTCAAATCTGCAAATGGATAAACATACAGCTGGCAGGCCATCAAAGAAACTATAAAAATTAAAGAGGAGCCAATTTAATTATTCATCTTGATTTCCTTCACGAAACAGCCAATTCATCTTCAGCAAAAGATCTATATAGCCAGCAAATATGAACATCAAAATTCAAGTTTGACAGGCGAAGCTTGTATCCTTAGTTTTTTTTTTGATGAAGTAAGGTGTCATATTGCTGGCATCAGGAAGATGCAAATCATTACAAAAGAGGTTGGTTAGCTCCATTTACACAAAAATACAATTCTGACCAGGGAGCTAAAACTAGAATCACCAAAAGCCTTTGGTTGTCAATCAAGCCAAAGACAGAGAGCTAATAAAATCTAGAAATGGAATTAAATCATTTACAGAGGAAAGGTTGCTCCAACTATATAGATTCCTAAGGCACTTTGCTTTCAGGTAGCTGTTGGGAGTTGATATTCCATCAAAGCATCTGCGATTCCTTTCTGCCCAAATACACCAAAATATACTTGCTGGGATCATCTGCCAGATCTTCTTGATGGTTCTCTCAACTTTCCACTGACTCCAACTTTCAACTGCTTCTTTTATCCCTTGTGGTGTTGTCCAACTTATGCCAATCGTTGAAAGGAACATGTGCCACAAATCTGCAGCCACTCTGCAGTGTAATAGCAAATGGTTTATAGATTCTGAGTTGTCTAGACACATGTAACATCTATTCACCAGCTGGAAATTCCTTCTACACAAGTTGTCTTGGGTTAAAATCGCACCTTTAAGAGCTATCCAGGTGAAGCACATGACCTTTGTGGGGAGTTGTCTTCCAAATGAGCTTCCATGGCCAAAGCTCAGTTACTTCATTGCTAGCACACAATTTCTTGTATCCTTCCTTGACTGAATAACAACCTTCGTTCAGATTGCCCCACCTTAAACTGTCTTGAGCTTGTGTATTCATTTGAAAGCTTTCCAGTGGTCGGAAAAGATCAAAGAGTTCCCCAAGTTCCCATTCCTGCATGTGTCTTCTGAAGAGGGGGTCCCATATGTTCCTTGATCTACATTGGGCAACTTTTGAGTCCGGATCGACTGCTATCTGGTACAGGGCTGGATGAGTGTCTTTTAATGGTTGATTGTGAAGCCATTTATCCTTCCAGAACCTAACTGAGGTGCCATCTCCAATTCTAAATGAAACGTCCCGAAATTCCTCTTTCAGACTGTTGATAAATTTTCAAGGACCAACACCATGAGGGGCTCTACTCTGTTTGGTACTCCAGTGGTTTAGCTTCCCGTACTTGGCATTCACTACTGCCTTCCATAAACATGTTCCTACCTACCATATCTCCATCACCACTTCATAAGCAAACTCTTATTGTGCTTGGCTAAGTCTCTAACACCCAATCCACCTTGATCTTTAGGTTGAATTACCTTAGACCATTTTACAAGATGAAACTTGTGGCCTTCACTGTTCCCTTTCCAAAGAAAGGATCTTCTGATTTTGTCCAGTTGTCTCTGGATCTTTCTAGGCATAGGGAATAAGGACATGATATAGGTTGGTAGGCTGTCCAAGACATTATTGATCAGTGTCATTCTTCCTCCCATGGATAGGTATTGCATTTGCCAAGTTGCCAATCTTTTTTCCACCTTCTCAAGAACTCCATTCCAAACCCCTATTGCTTTGTATTTTGCTCCCAGTGGAAGGCCTAGATATGTTGTTGGAAATGAGCCAATTACACAACTCATAATACTAGCCACTCTTCCAAGTTAGGCATTGTATTCACAGGGTAAATCATACTTTTTTGCATATTAATGTGTAATCCTGAGATAGCTTCAAAAATCAGTAAAGTCAAATTTAGGTACTGAACCTGAAGCTTCTCCGCCCCACAGAAGATTAAAGTATCATCTGCATAGAGTAAATGTGACACTGCAACTGGGTCAACTAGGTCAACTGNACTGGGTCAATTATGTTGTTTCCCACCCTGAACCCTTCAATCCACTGCATTTGTTTTGCCTTATCAAGCATTCTGCTCAAACCCTCCATTGCAAGGATAAAAAGAAAAGGAGAAAGTGGATCTCCTTGTCTAATTCCTTTCTGTGGTGAAAAAAAACCAACTGGAGCTCTATTCACCAAGATGGAATACTTAACAGTAGTAAGGTTGTACCTGATCCATCTTATCCATCTGTCACCAAACCCCATTCCTTTCAAAATAGAAAGAAGATAGGACCAATTAACTTGATCACAGGCCTTTTCTATGTCCAACTTACAAAGAATACCTGGAACACCACTTTTCAACCTCCCATCTAGCAGCTCATTAGCTATCAATGATGCATCTATGATATGTCTATTTTTCAAAAAAGCATTTTGCTCTTTTGAAATCAGCTTGTCGATGACTGTTTTGATCCTCTCAGCTAGGAGTTTAGCAATTATCTTATAGACACTTCCAATGAGACTTATGGCCTAAAATCTCTAAGCTCTATAGCACCTTTCCTCTTGGGAACTAGAGCAATTTTTTTTTTTGATAAAGTAAATTGTATTAATCAAAAGGGAGAGAACTCACGTATACACGAAGTATACCAAAGACGTAGAGAATTTACATTAAAACATGATTCTCTACAAAAAAACGCTCAATCTTCTATACAAGTAGGGGCTAAATGAGTGCACCAAAAAGCGATCAAAGATAAAAGACTATTCTTAAGATGTGAAAAAGGAGACTCAATCTTCTCAAAAACTTTCCTATTTCTCTCCCCCCATACTACCCACATGAGAGCTAACGGGGCGAACTTACACGCCTTCTGCTTTCTTCTTCTACGAAAACCGCCCCAGCTATGTAACATTTCCTTTACAGTGCTTGGCATCACCCATTGAACACCAAAAAGATTCAGGATTACCCTCCACGAAGCAGAGGACACAGGGCAATGCAACATAAGGTGATCAACTTCTTCCCCTGAGCTTTTGCACATGTAGCACCAACTAACAAGTGTAATTCCCCTCTTTCGGAGATTTTCAGCAGTCAAGATCACTCCCCTTGCCGCTAGCCATACAAAAAAGCACACCTTCGTGGGCGCCCTAGGAATCCAGATCGGGGAGTATGGAAAAGTGGTCTCCTCTCTCACCAACATACTCTAGTAAAAGGACTTTACGGTGAAGAAACCATCGCCACGCAAGCCCCATCTCCAAGAGTCGCAGGATGGCTGAAGCCTGTCTTGCCCGTATAGCAGCGCCAACAAAACTTGGAGCTCCGCAATCTCCCAATCTTGCATGTTCCTCCTGAATGAGATGTCCCATACTACCCCCCTTCATGCTCCTTGTGAATCTGTTGGACCATCAGTTCTTTCTGGTTTGAAACTCTGAAGACGTGGGGGAAGGAGACTCTCAGAGTATCCTCTCCACACCACCTATGATTCCAAAAGCTGATTCTCCTTCCATCTCCCACCCTGTAAGTGATGTTGCCACTGAATGCTTCCCAATTCTTCATGATGCTCCTCCACATGCCACACCCGAAAGGTGTTGTGATCGCCTTGGTCCTCCAACCCCCTCCCGTTGAGTCGTACTTTTCTACTATGATCTCCCTCCATAGAGCATGCTATTTTACCCCGAATCTCCACAACCACTTTCCCATTAAAGCTCTGTTAAATACCCTAAGATCTTTCACTCCAAGTCCACCCCACTTCTTTGGGGAAGTGACTGTCTGCCAATTCACTAGATGAAACTTTCTAGTTCCATCCGCCGCATCCCACAGAAAGTTCCTTTGAAGTCGCTCCAGTTTTTCTGTGATACTCACCGGTGCTTGCAACAGTGAAGCATTATTGAACCTCACCATATAACAGTGTTGATGGAAATGATTAAGAGCACCCATTAAATCCGATTTAACAAAGACCCATGACCTTTGAAAAAAAGCCATTGTAAAACCGTCCGGACCTGGACTTTTGTCTGGAGCACAAGAGTTGATTGCAGCCCACACCTCATCTTCCTCAAAATCTCTCTCTAACCATGCCTTCTCTGTGGGAGAAAGACTTGGTAGATTTGAACAGTTATATTCTGGCCTCCATTGTTCATTCTCAGTGTAAAGGTCTTGATAGAAACTCAAAATTTCTGCTTTAATGACTTCCTTGTCTTCACATAGCTCATCTTCTATCATTAGCTTATCTATGATGTTATTTCTTCTATTGGAGTTTGCCATTCTTTGGAAGAACTTGGTGTTCTTATCCCCTTCTTTGAGCCAAAGACACCTGGACTTTTGTCTCCATGAGACTTCCTCAGCCTTTGCCATTCTTTTGAGGTCCAATTTCAGCTGCATGGATTTCTCCTTTTCTGCTTGGGACATATGTCTTGTTTCAGTTGCTTGTTCTAATAATGCGAGTTCCTCTAGCAGTTTGTTCCTCTGTGCTTCCACTCTGCCAAAAGACTCCTTGTTCCAAACTGTAATGTCCTTTTTCAAACTTCTCAATTTTTGAGTTAGAATGAAATCTGGACTGCCCCCAATTGTATAGTTCTGCCACCATCCTTTGACCTTGTCCTTCGTTTTCCCAACAATATGCCACCATGCACCCAGTGTTATCAAAGGCAAAAAGCACAAAAAAGTTCTAAGGTTTGTTGGGGCGTTAAGCGCAAAGCGCAAATAAAGCGTGGGCTTTAATGAAGAAAGGCGCAAATGGAGAAAAACTACAAATATGTATGTGTAGTCCAAGACTAATATCTATAAGCATGAATACCAAATATATGGACAAGGAAATTAAAAAAAAGTTATGATAAAGTGAAATATCAGTTGTTTAGTGTCGCCTCTTCGGAATTACGCTCATTGGCAAGGAAAAGTATGCCCGCCTTTAATAACACTGCATGCACCATCCACCATACCTTTCATACAAGTGGTATATATAAAACAAACTTGTGCATCAAAGGGAAGTAAGGTTATGCATGTTCCCACCAATTCAACAAGGAAAAAAAATTACTATTAGAGACTACCAGGAAAAAGAATAGGAAAAAAAAAAGAGAAAAGGAAGTTGGCAACAAATACACATCATAAACTTCTGGGGTAAACCGATTTTGCAGATCAGTCATCATGTGAAAAAAGGATAAATAAACTATGAACCATTATACACAAGTTGGTTGGATATCCCACCTTAGGAAAACCAGCAGTGAATGGGATAGTAAGCGCAGCGAAGGCCCGTGAAACATTTTTTATGGTTTTACCGGCAGGGTTTCCCTCCAATCCTTCTTGAGCATTGCACTGCAAAAGAACAACTCTAGTCAACAAAATTGACCAGAATAACATGCTCTAAAGAACTGTTAAGAAAGACAGATACAGCTGTTAATGATGGCTAGAGTATGAACTCGAGATCAACTAAAACTGACGTAAGATCTATAAAAAGTTTCAACATTAACTTGATAACGACATATTTACAGGTGCCTAAAACAAAACCATATTTACAGGCGCCTAAAAGAAAACCATATTTACAGGCGCAGATTCTGTTATCCTTTCCCTTACTTCCTTTCTTCCTTTATTTCTGTTTTGGGCAGATTCCTTTGCTGCTCGGTGCAATCTAAACAAATATCTTTAATGATTCTCCAAGATAACAATGGATCTCTGATACAAAAAATTTAAAATTTCATGATCTTTTCAGGACAACTTTCCCTACTGTCTTCTTTCTTTAACAGTATTAGATATTTTATTCTCATTTGATTCCAACACAACATCAAACGATCACCAGTCATACAGAATAATAATCCATTGGACCATTAGAAAAAAGAACAATGAATCAAAAAATAAAATGAAAAGAAATAGACTGAGATAACAGATAACTTTACCTCCACCGTTATCCAGAATGTCAAAGCCGTCAAAACTGGAAGGATATACATACTATCTGGAGTAGTTAGATCAGTAAACCAAAATGCTCCTCCCTGTTTGAGAGAAGGAACATTGTCCGCCATGTTCCTAATCTGCATTTTCGAGAGATGGCATGAAGGTCTAATAACGGAAGGGACAGAGAGTGATAGAGAGAAAGAACAATACAGATAGCAGAACAGGATAATCTTACAGCAACAAAGAAACTGACAAAGATCGGGCCTTGTATCAGTAGTCCCTTTAAGGGAGTGAACATTGAAACTCCATGTCTGCAAGAATGACATTGATTTTATAAACACATTCACCATATCAAATATTTATATTTTTTTGAGATGGATTCACCATATCAAATATTTCACCGAAAGTATTATCAAAGGAATTTTTTTGGAAGTATGTGACTGCAGCTACTTATGTTTTAAATCTACATCGGATAATCAAAGCATCCCATCGACTTCTTGTCCAAACCACACATAATTAGTGTAATGTTTTGCTAATATGTGACCATGTATGTTTTGAACAAGCAAAAAAAAACAGCAAAGCTGAAGGCTAGATAGTTTTGTTTTTCCACAGCAATCGGATTGAGTGATAATTAGATACAGGAACCTGTTTAATCATCATTTGTCGGCAAGTACCAATACCATAATGATAACATTGAGAAAGTGTTGAAGAGGAGCTAAAGTAGCAAAGCAAAAAATAACTGAAGCGAAACAAGGAAAAAGTCAACTGGAAAAGTAGTGAAGCTAAGAGAAACAATAACATCATTGAACTGCTATAACGCAGGAAATATTTACTTATGTAAAGGTGACCAAGCTCAACAAAAATTGGAATATGTATCTTTCAAAGAGTGCATATTACCATGGTTGATTTACAACATATATATTTACAAGTCTCATCAGAATGCCCATTCAGCTTTGTCAGTTGCTTAAAGTACTGGAGGTATCATTTCGATCCTTTTGAAAGAAATTTGCATTATCTACAGATTAATAATACTGGCACAACATGCAACACTTAATAAAACTACTATTCTGAAGTTCACCTGAACTACTGCAGATGAATAATCTGAGAATACGGAGATCTCAGAATTATAGTTGTGAAGGAAGCCAGATGCATGTAACGGAAAGTTCAATTCTTAAGTAAGGGAATAGCAATGGGGTAGACATGCAACTCAAAGTAGCTCTAAAATCGGCTCAAGAGAAGAAAAAACATAAAAGAACACTAGAAGAAAAAGAAATAACTGGTGGATTATGACAAGCTGGTTAACTTTTCTAAAAATGGTGGTGACAAGGCCGGCTCGCTGGAACCTACCCCTGGTAGCTATATTCACCAATGCTTTCACATGAGAAGCTAGTTAAGTTTTTCAAGAATTTTTGGTCCAAAACAGCGCATATAGTAGTTCATTAGAGTCAACAAGGAAAAGTTGCTTACTCCTTCGTTAATTCATTCATTCTTTGTTGACCTTCAGCAACTGCTGCTGGCGCCATACCCTGTTAAGAAGTAGAAAGATAAACCAATGAAGAACTTTTGGCAGGTACAAATATAAACCACATAATTCTTGCCTCCAAAAGGGAAGGAAACACATGAGTTGTTAATAATTTAAGGCAAAAATTCTGACAGTAAAGAAGACACATGAGTATGGCCTATATGTGCATGGATCAATTACTTAGAGATGATAATAGGCAGGTTTTAGAGTCTAAGACACATGTAAAAGTTTAACCATCAACAAAGTTTAAAGCAGTATTGAACACTCAGTAACTGGATCACGTAGAATAATTTATTTATTTACTTTATAACCATCAATTCCTTGAACCGAGGGTCTATGAGAAACAGCCCTCTCTACCTTCAAGGTAGGGGGTAAGATCTACTTATACACTACGCTCCCCAGATCCCACTTGTGAGATTATACCGGGTTTATAGTTGTTGTTGATAACCATCACAAAGAATAATATTTTTCAGATGTCATTACTAGAAGGTACATGACATGGTCGGAAATTCATTCAAGTGATTAGCTAGCTCAATCAAAAAGGAAAGATAATGAGAGGAGACTCGTATCAACCTACCTTATTTTGCATCTCTTCTTTTATCTCTTCCATCTTTGGCCTCAGAAGCTGCACAAGACATGCAAGTTAAGAAATGGACAATCAGTGAATGAAGTGAAAATCGGAACAAAGATGAAGCAAGGAGATTAAAGAAGGAAAAATTGCCAGTCTTTTCATGTATATTCTATTTTAGTACTGTGTATGATAAATCTAGACCAAATATTACAACGCAATGGATTCTAATAAACATAAAGCTGGTTTTTCAACATTTTCACCAACTACACAGTAATTCACAGAAGCTTGCTTTGGTAAAGGTAAACATATCATAGCAGATTTTAACAATCTCCGCAAATGAAATGAATAGAGAAGTCAACAAAGAATGAAGAAATGAGAATCAACCATCAAGCATAACTTTTGAAAGAAAGAAAAGTATAAAGAGCAACAACTGGAACCATAAAGATGTACTAAACCTTCCTTTGAATAATACATGTTTAAAGTTCTCTTTAAAACAAAGAATCTCTATAGAAAATCACTTGATGGCATCACAAATCACAATGGAGCAGATATCTATGCTGCATCCACTGCACACTAAATGTTCGGACATCCCTTTCCTACTTCTTGAAGTTTGAAAAGAAATTTATTTTTGGCACAGAAAATTTAGCCTGAACTTACTCAATTACAGTGAAACCAGCTAGTCAAAGGTGAAAAGTATCGAGGATCGCCAGATCTGGGGGCTTTAAGCACAAAACAGATTTAAAGCAAGTGCTTTTTAAAGATAGGCACAGGTGAAGAAAACAATAAAAGATAAATGTAGTAAAAAACTATAACTATAAAAACAAACAACAATTATATGGACAAAGGGATGGAAAAAACTTAATTAAAAATATATAAAATAAGAGTCATGTCAAACAAGTTCAAAAGACTAATTTAAATGTTTGATTCAGAAATCAAAATACAGCTTTTACAATTTCATTCATATTTCTTGACATATATTTCTATTTTCATATTCTGAATCAATAACATATACATGCATAACATTATATAGCACTTTGTCAGCTATACTACTGTTGCTCTCTTCAGAACCCATGGACACTAATGTGCAGGTGTTAGTGCTTTGGTGCCAACACTGAACTGCCAACTAAGCGTGGAGAAGTGTCCAGCGTACCCTGTACCTAACTTCAGGGTACCTAACAACACAGAGTGAACTCTGTGGCCTCTAATCAATGAGATGTTGAGCCAATGAAATGATATGAGTCGCTACTTTTTTATTTTTTTGAGAATAAATGAGTCAATAAAATTTTTGCTTCACCTGATATGATTGCTTGGTGTAATTTTAGAATCAAATAAAGCACAACTATAACCACCAAGCTTGCATTGCGCACAAGACTAAACACCATAGAAGCACATATTTAGAAAAAAGGAGAGACTAGATGGGGTCTGTTACATGAAGTGTCAAAGAGGTAAGATCACAAGACTTGATTATAGCAAGTAGCAAATCCTTCTCAGCTAGTTCTCAAACCCCACAACACGAGCCAAAGTACTGACCATGATCTTCTGAGAAATTTTTGTTTGTTACATAAAAAGGTTTCATCGTGATATTCTCGAAGCTACTGTAGCTTTATCACTTAGCAGTTATAATAGCTTTATCAATGAAGTGGGAGGAGAACCATGAGATCTTAGGTTCTTTCCCAATGGAGACAAAAATACACTAGGTGATTTCTTCTCATTTGCCAAAGCCTTCATAGGCAGAGTTACCCAATACTTGTTTTGGTGACAGGTAAGGGACAACCGATGAAATAGTCTGCGTGCAAGCAGGCTCGGATACCACCATCATAAAATAATAAAAAAACGAACAGTTTAAACAAGAAGCTCGACACCACATTCCATTTACTTTAAGGTAACAAAATTTAGGAATAGAAAATACCTAAGTGAGCCAAAACAAGCACATCCAGCATAGTAGTAGGAATGTCAACAATCTTGGCGCTTATTAGTAAAGTAATAAACTTTGTTGACTTATTAAAAAAGGGGTAGAAAACTAGAAATGCCGATGCACGTAAATCATTTTTTCTTTTATTTCCCTTTTCACTTTATTAGGTAAAGAAGTGAACAAACTAAGATCCAAAAGAAGGAAATAAGGCCATCATTCTTTAAGGCCAAGCACTGTTAAAGAAGATAAGTGTAAAACCGCAGTATAAAGATAAACAAAAATGTAGCTTTGAGGTCTACTAACCTAGAAGGCAGTATACCTCGCCTAACTTCCTAGTCTTTGAAAGGACATATTTCCATTTTGTATAACGCGCAGACATTGAACAGAACCAGTTGGCCTCAAATTAAATACTTGCGTGTCACTTGAACAAGAATGAATTAAATGGTAAAAAGTGATCATGTTGTATTTTTAATAACAGTGGTGTCCGGGCCAACTTGCAGCACACCTACCACCTCCCACCAGCATCAGGTACCAGGTAACTCTGTCCATCAAGGCCTGAACAGATGGAAAGAAATCACCTAGTGTTTTTGCTTCAGTTGAGATTTGAACCTGAGACCTCAAGGTTCTCAACCCACTTCATTAACCACAAAGCCACACCCTTGGGCATGTTGTTATATGAGATCATTAAGCTCTAAAAAGATAAAATCTATTCAAGTCAAGCTTGAGCAATGAGCAAGTAGGCATAACGAAAAATTCATGTACAGTGCACTTCTCACTTGTATCAGGAGAAAGCGAGGGGTTATAGTCAATTCTCATGCGTGAGGACTTGGATTAATATCAATCTTATTGTGTAATGGATACTGAAATTAGTTTGTATTGTTATTGCATTTTGATTGTTATAGTACTAAATTGATTGTGTTTGGTACTTTAAATTTTCGAAAAATTGTTCGCTTCATTGAGAAGTCTGCACTCCACTTCATGCTTTTCTCTTCAGCCTCCATGGGCCTTGTGCTTTTTGCTTCTAAAAACACTGTGATGTTGTCATTTAAATGGTCCGCAGAGACAGAATAAACTGCTAATACTTGAAGTCACAGGTTTTTATACTGATCTATGACTGCAAAGGACTTCTTCCGGAACAAAAAAATGGGTTTAACATGATTAACTAATTAATGTTACTACACTATTGCCACTGGTTTTCAGGTTACAAGTGAAAAAGGATATTTCCAATCCAAGGCTACAATTATACATGACACTCAGGGTTCATTCTAGCAGATACTTTGATGTATGAGCCAGGTGCTTTATTTTACCTGCTTCTGGTCTAAATTTAGGATTGGAAGAGACCAAGAAATTACTGAAGAGTGAAAACAGGCTGCAAGATAGCGCTAGCTAACAAATGAAATTGGCGTGAGGTTAGGATTTTATAAGTTCCTTTAGCCCAATAAAAGACAAGTAGGAAAACAATTGGACAAACTTTTGTTGCTCGGCGATATTTGTAACTCATATACGTTGACATACTTGAACTTGAATTTCTTCTCACTTTCCTTCATTAAATTTTGTGCATATAAAGGAGGTCCTATGTCGACATGAGATCCTATGGAGTCTTTTTTTTTTTAAAGGAAAGGGTAAGATCATATTCTTTTTATGATGAGGGTAAGATAATATGTAGTCTAGTATAGTTACTTCACCAACTGCCTTAAGATGTTATTAAAATAAACAAACTGGGACATGTAGCAAGGTTAAGATGCACTACAGAGGCTTACCGTTAGTTGTGAAGTAGACTTCAGCTGATTAATCATAACTGGAAGAGTTAACAACCGAATAATAATACTTGTAGCAATTATGGATGCCCACCTGAACAACATAAAAAATTTCAAGATGAAGTCAAGGCCTTAAGAGTTGTCATTTAATAACTAGACATAGCAAAACGACTAGATTTTAACTTCTGCAAACTACAATTACCAAAACAAAAGAGAGAGAGAGAGAGAGAGAGAGAGAGAGAGAGAGAGAGAGAGAGAGAGAGAGAGAGAGAGAGACTTTTAAGGACCTATGATTCCAAAGTATTTCAGCTAAAATGTAAAATCTCAAACTTCCGAACATATCTCTCAATCAAGAGCTACTACTACCAGTCTGGCACTACTAATGTTAAATCCCAAGCAAGTTCAAGTATTTTCAATGAAATAAATCTGCAGCTATGGAGTCCCGCTAAATATCTGTGGACATTAAAAGAACAAACTCTGCAAGCCAAATCGAATACATGTGAGCTGCTTCAACTGCAATCATAATCTCAACTTAAAATTCTATATTTTAACGCTCTATGAATAAGTTAAAAAGATGTATATATTTTTAATAAAGGACTTCAGGAATAACAAAGAGTTCATTGAACTCTTCCAGCCCCAACTCGGGAGTGCATTGAGTTGTTTATATCTAGTGATCACTCTCTCTCTCTCTCACCTAAAAATTACCAAGAGAAGAATAAAGATACCCATACGTTTTTTTTTGTTTTTTTTTTTTTTTTTTTTGGGGGGGGGGGATAGGTAACTCTCCCTGCCATTTCTCTTTCCTATTAAATCAATCCAAACACGCTGTAAAAAGTCACAGCAAATACATGTTCGCGAGAAAATTAGAAAAAAATAGAGGCAACATCATTTACTCTTACCATTCAAGCCCAGTAAACATATGAATGTAATCCATCAAATACATCAATGCCTTAACCGGCAAATAACAATCTGCAGCAGCAATTGCCATCTCGTTCACAGCTGGAGCTTGAGAAACTACAGCCTCTACAGCCTTATCAGCCAGTACTTCAGCAACATCAGTCATGTAGTCTATTTTATTCGCTTCACCACCAATATCAGTTGACATATTCCTGGTCAATAAGGACCCATAACTCATCGGAATCATAAGGCCTGAAGCACAAAATCTCCTGTCTTGAAATGGGTTTCTTGAGCCACTGAAGCTGTTAATCCCCCTTGCACTTCCCATGTAACGGTACTGGGAAAAACTGGGAATTCTTGAACTATCAAAACCGGGTTCAGGGTTGTTACGATTATCATCATGATGAAAGTAAGAAAATGCAGGGGTAACTTTTTGGTGCTGATAAAGAAGCTTCGCTCGTGTCGTTATGTTGCGCCTATAAGCCATTCTTTTAATTTGCTTCCTTCAATAAACAGATTTAGCAGCAAATATTAGCATCTCACATCATAGTTAGGCAACCATTGCAGTATATACACAACATATGCACAGACTATAATACATCATAAAGATGAAACCTTTACAGTGACTCACACAGCACAATACACAGAAACAATACATCATAAAAATGAAAACTTCACATTCATTCGCACATACAATTCACAGAAACAATGCATCCTGCAAATGATACCTTTATAGACAGTCATACAACAAAAAACAGAGAAACAATACATCCTAAAGACAGTGGCGGATCCATATGAGGTCTGGGTTCGACTGAACCCATAAAGTTTGGCCCCAGCCTATGAATAGATATAAAAAAAACAGGTCAAAATGGCTAATTTGAGCCCATATCTCAAGAGGTGCAATGGATTCAACGCCAACGGGCTTTAAGCATAGGTTTTTAATGCGGAGATACAAAGTTCGATTCTCTGCTGCATCATTCTATTTATTTAGTTTGTCCCTACTGTAAAGCATCACTATCCCTGCTTCTTCAAATGATATTGCTTCTCTTCCTTTTCTTCACAAAGCTTAGCACTATACTTTCTTTTTGCCTTCAAACTTAGCGCTATAATTTAGCTTATATCGACCACTCAGAGACGGAGCTAGACTATTACTTACCGGTTCGGACAAACCCAGTAGCTTTTGCTTAGACTCTTTATTTGTATTATATGTATAAATATTTAATTGCGAACCCAACTTTCTATCTAAAGGTTATATGCATTTATAATGTTTTGCTGAAAATGTTTTTTTACAGCTAATATAATTGTTTATTATGTAATGATAACATAACGTCACCGTCCTAGCACCTCGAATTCTGAACTCATAAATTAAAATCCTGGATTCGCCCTGCCTAAAGATGAAACCTTTACAGTCATTCTCACAACATAATACACAGAAACAATGAATCCTAAGATTAAAATTTTACGGTCATTCACACAACATATTGAACACAAAAACAAAATATTTAGAATGAATCAGAGTTCAGATCCAAATTACTATGATTGGTGATACGAAGAATATATGAAAACATAAGTTTTAAAATTGAAGACTTACAGTGATATGTGATTGTGAGCTCGAAGAAAGAAGGGAAATGAGGAAAGGGTTTACGGGGTTTTATTATTATGAAGTAAAAAACAGAGGAGTGAAATCTTTGGATTTTTTCTTTTCTTTTTCAGACAATGTTTTTTCCTTTTTTTTTTTTTTTTTTTTTTTTTTTGC